TTTTCTTTAAAATACACGGTACCTCATAGCCAAGCGTAGCAAGTTTTCTTTTCTCTCTCTAATTGAGCAAAATTCTAGTCTGTTTTATGGCAAAGCGCTGCACTATTCACACCCCAGTAATAATACATCATTTTAAGTGAATTTTAATTCAGTTTTTGATCTTAATAATCGCTTCGAATTTTCCCTTCAAATAACTCGCGTTTCGTCTTCTTCTCCAAATAATTTGCGATTTTCTCGCTTCTCGTTTTCTGTGATCTTTATCAACCTGCGATATTAATCGCATTTAAACACATTATAGATAATCGATCGTTATTATTAACATTTATCTCGAACTGTGTTATCAAAAATTAGGTAAGATAAGTTAATCGTTCTTCTCTATGCAATCATCGTAAAATGGAAAGTGTGTGGAATTTTATTGTTTAATGGTTACACGGTGAAAGTTCAAAGTAAAGATACAAAGGAAAATTGTATCATATTTTTAACTTATTTTTTCCTCGATTACAATCCATTATAAAGAGATGAGCGAACGTTAGCTTATAAATGGATGCGAATGAAAGTCACTATTAGAAATTTTAGTGAAAGATTATTTAGAAAAGTGATTACATTCTTCGACCTTATTGTTGTTATTATATTCTAAGTTCTTTCACAAAATCACATAGTAAAAGGAATAATAAAAGTTTTAATTGTGTCAATCTATCTGTAGATAATTTATTTATTTATTTATTTATTTATTATTATTATTTTTTTTTATATATATCGTTAATCTTCTCCATCTTCATTTTATAACCAAAAAATGAACGCATCTTTACAACTTTCTGGCGGTCATTCATGCATTCGCAAAAGAAAAAGTGCACTGCAATAATAATAAAATGTTTTATGAAGAAAAAGGTGGGAAAAAGGGGGACATTACAAGAAACTACGATAAAATTAAATAAGTATTACCTACTTTTACTTTATAAAAGATGACAGAGAAAGAAGAAAAGCAAAAAAAAAAAAAAAAAAGATGCCAAAATTATGTGGCACACTTGTTGTTGCTGCTCGCTGCTCGCTGTCGCTTAAGTCAAGTGCAATAGTAATAAGCTTACGTTGGCCTAAGTTGGCAAGGAAAACATTATGTACTTAATAACACAGTAAGAAAATTGCATTGTGCGATCATTATTTGTAAATAATAGGCGGATGAGTTTAGGTGTGCAAAGCGGTTTAACAGCATTCCACTTGGATGCCTAAGCGGAAAAATTTAAAAAAAAAGGTACAAAAACAAAACCAAAAATGGCAACACAAAAAAAAAAAAAAAAAAAAAAAAAGATTCTACCACTTATAAATATATCCTATCCTTTATGAGTGAGAATTCATGGACTTCAGCCGGCAATCGTTACGGTGCGCAATAAAATGTTGGTGAAAGTGAATAAAGATGGTTTCGTTTTTCATTTCATTGGAGAGTAAAAATAAACATATTAAACGATCATACATAGAGTATATGCAGCTGTAAGGGATAAGGGAAAGGATAATGACCTGATTGCAATTTTTCAAATATTGTCTAAGGCGGATAGTAACGATTATCACGAATTGCTAAAGACTTCGATGCTATAAAACCAAGCCTAACATGTTGCGAAAAATTGCTGAGAATGAGGTCATGCCGGACTACATAGATAGATGTGGCAACAATGTAATCTCTGAGCTTTCGCCTGATGTGATATCTATTTTCCTATGCATGACCTTCCAATTTTTAGGCGCAAGTATAGCCTAGCATATCATAGTCGAACTGGTTCTCGAGTTACTTTCCTTCCAGGAATGTACCTTCCCCGGCAATTTACTCTCACTTAAAGGGAGTCAATAAAATCATCATAAGCAACGTAAAAAGACCCCTTTAACTTCAAGTTAAATATCGAAAATTATTCATCTTTTTAAGCGACTTGCACTCTCTTGTTTTGATCGATCATATATTTTTACGCGGCTGAAAACCTCTTAAGAAAACATTTTCATATAAAAAAAAAAAAAGGCGAGATATTCATAAAAAAGTAGTCGCTGATAAATATGAAGTGATTTTGTAAGAGAATTTGATATTTTTTAAGTGAATGAACTGGTTCTTGCCTTTGGCGGGTTTTGCAATAACGATTTGAAAGCATAATTCTTGTTTTTCGTTTAGGTAAAAATTGTTACACAAAAACTAAATCAAACAACAAACAACTAAACCGTTTTTGATCTCAATAGAGGACTAACAATATATACCCTACTACCACAGTTTTCTTTTAAATCTTATTTAGATTTCAAATGTCAAATGTTCTTCATATTCTTTCTTTCTTCCTCTTCATTTTTTCAATAATTAAAAATATACAAACACTGCACTACTGCATTAGAAGATGCTAATGAAATTTGTACCAAACCTATGTCCTACGTCAAATTGCGCTTTCTTGAACAAATTAGCTGAGACGATTTGGTATAAGGTTATTGTACAAACGCCGGAAAGGATGGAAAGGATGATAGTAGAATGTGGTCGCGTTGCCGGCCGTTTTGGGAAGTTGTGTTTCAAGAAAGACGCAGTTAAAGTTACAAGTACCCTCACGATTATGTTCGGTAATTTGAATTTATTTAAAATTTTTCCAGGTTCGTATTATCTTTTATTCTCTCTAAGATTGAATCACCGCACTTACCCGTTTAGTATGGGCACACTAGTCACTTACTTATATGTGTTTATTAATTGTTTGTAATTGACTATGTTTACCATTTTTATTATTATATATTGGGTCATATAAAAAGGCTTTGCGTTTCTTACCACGTCTTCGAGCTGGCTTTGGTGGCCTGCTCTTTTCAAATGATTCCAAACTCTTACGTAGTTGATGCTTAGTGCCCCCGCTAATCCTGCCTGTCTGTTTAACTTAAGCAGTTGCAAAACTTTAATCGCCTTTTCGGCCAGAACGAGGTGTATCTCTAAGCAAACCACTTCAGCATTCTTACCTTGCACTTTTTCTTTTTTTCCTTTTTCATAGCTTCCGATACTTCACTCATTTGCAAACCAATTGAACTTTTCCCACGAGCAAAAAGTTACGAAATTCTTGGGAGAACAAATGTAAGCTCAAATGTCACCTTTTAAACAGATGTTCATTCGATGAGACTATCAGGCGAGTGTTGCCCGCGATATAAAGCCATTAACACCATTCTGCGGAGAAAACTGCAAAGTCTTTTGCACATGTTACCCAATATATTACCATTTGGATAATGGATTTTTTCCATTTTTTCTTGACATCATATATTTTTAAAACCCATTTCCGTTTTCGATATAAATTTATTAACGATTTCTACACGATTGTGTCTGATCCGAAATACCGCATAAATAACTTATAGTGGCAAACAAGTTTTTCGAAGGAAATTTATTAAGCTCGTTGAGTGTCCGTAATGCATGAAAGTGTACATTGGAAATTATCAAAGCGCCATAAGGACATGTTGTACATGTGCTCAATGACACTGAAGAATAGGAAAAATTTAAAATGCTTTCGATAGCAAATATCAACTTTAGTAGGACTTTACTCATTAACTTTATCACTAGCGCTAGTACTAGGAAATGACCTTCAATTGTCTCCTTCGATATACGTAGCAGTTAGTTTACAGTTGTCTAAATTTATATCTTGCTAATCTGTACGTGAGCTGTACAATGCTGGGTTATGTTTTAGGCATTGTTTGCCTAAAACATTGTTATGTTGATGGTGTTACGGATATTTACAACTCTTCAGCCAAACTTATTATCTTACACCGATAGCGTAGCGAAAGCATCAACACCTTACAAGTTTTGTTCATTCATTCAAATCACTTCAACTTGACAATATCTCTCTAATAAATTCAAGTAAGCGATTTGCCGGCTATCAAATGATTCGGCCAAAACCAACCAATAACTTCATTCTAATATTTATCTGATTTATAAGTTGTTGTTTTTTTTTTTTTAAAGTTTTACACACAGTGCAGGTGTATATGTGCCTTTAACCAGCAATAAATAACCATAAACTAGTAAAAAGCATTGCGACTGAATGAACTGATTTTTTCTGAACACTTGCTTATGACATAAATAGGTAGAAAGAAATAAACAATTTGGTTAAACCGGTTAATTGAACTGTTTTAAAATAGATGGATAGACAAGTCGCGACAACAACAAACATCGTAATGTGTGTTAAAAAAAGTTTTAAGTCTGTCCACACAGGTAAATTTTATTAGATAGACTGCATATGTATTTACATATTTTGTTTACGATATCATACTTAACAGATTCATTCCACTCTTTTTCATTGTGAAAGTTTTACTTTAAATTACTAAACATTTCTCTTTGATATTTAACGGTCAGTAAAAAGTTTTTTATTTTGCTTTTACTTTTCTGCTTTTTATTATTATTATTTATTTATTTATTTTTTTTTTTTTTTCAATTTAAATTTTACTTTTAATAGTAATTGTAAAGAATTGCAAATAATTGTCTGCTGGCAAAGCACATAAATGAAAGGAATGCTATTAAATGTCTAGAAAAAAAAAAAAAAAAAAATAAATATATATATATATGGAAGAAGAAGAAAATTACATTCCCTTTAGGGGATCTTCAAAGAGATTATTGCGTAAGCAAAACAGATCATTATACCGATCATCGAAGGATCAGGAAATCGTTTGCAATGCTCAGAGGGAAGCTTTAGAGACCCTGGAAAGTGTACATATTTTTGATTAGTATCGAATTCTAAATCCATTTAAGCATGTTTGTCTGTCCGTCTGTCCATCTAACCATCTGTGTCATCGTCTTTGCAAAAATGAAGCTAACGTTTTCAATTTTTTTTTTTTTTATATAATGACAAGTGACTGACTGGCTGATGGAATGAAATAAGCTTTTGGAACTTAAAATTTTCTTTTATTGGAAAAAAAATCGCATTCTCTGTTTTATTAAGTTTTCAGCAAATTCGTCTATTAATGTTGTAGAAAAATTTTTAACATATTTGTTTTTATTTTTTATTTTATTTTTTGTATTATTTTAGACTTTTCGCAATTCTATCAAAGCAATCGTTTTAAATATTATTGCGATGCAATCCCAAGCCACATTAGTGCAAGCAACTTATTATGATGACTAATCAATCACCTTCAAAGACGAAGAAAAAAACTTTTCAATGACACCATACGCCAATGATAAACAAATAAAAAAATGCAAATAAAAACAAAAAAAAAATAACAAAAAATAAAATGCAATACATACTCCTACGGTTAACAGTGATTAATAGGCATTGAAACGAAAAATCAAAAGCAATTCACTTTCGTGCAAATCATCTTCATAGCTTAACTCATACGAAATTTTCGTGGCAATTAAATAATTTAAAAGTTGTGTGTGCTTGCATCAATTAAGTAATGTAAACAAATCTATGATTTTAGCAGCAAGCACACGTATCATAACTCGCGATCCGCCGTTGTAATGATGAAAGAAAAGTGCGATTAGCTTATATGAAATTCAAATTTAGGTAACTTTATCTCGAGTCTTCTTCATAGCATTTGCTCTTCATTTTCACTTATTTTGTCATATTGAAAATTTAATCTTCTTTTATGTTTTATGTCACATTATTCTGTGCAGATGCACTTTTCCTAGGGCTTATTATTTCCCCCCGAAAGGTTTGCTGTCCTTCAGATACCAATTTACCTATGATACTGAATGATAATGAAATCGCGTTATTTTAAACAAGCAAATGCGATAAGTTATTGAAGAATTGAAACTTTTTTTTTTTTTTTTTTATAATTTTCAACAAACAGCAACAAGTTTTCAAGCAATACCAATAAAAGTTTATGCCAAAATCGATAAAATTATATTATTGACACCAGCCAGGTATTCCACCGCTTCCGCTGATATCCGCCAACTTATGACTTAGACGAAACTTGATTATAATGCATAGGTAGATGCCACGGTCATGTAAATAATAAAAATTTAATAGAAAATTTTCAATAAAAAGTATTTAAGTTAATTATAATTAACGCGAAAAAAAAAAAATATCGGGCGACTAAACGCCGACTTAATATGATGCAAGAAAATTCAACAAAAGTTTATTATTTACTTCAATCCACCGAACAGTGTTTTACATACAAATCTATTTTATTTATTTTTAAAATCAAATTTTTATAAGAAAATTTAAATGTTTCGAACGTATAAAAAAGCAAATAACGTAATAGGATATAATTAAATTATTTTAGTAATAATATGATTACAATAGTGATAAACCAAAGTTGTGACTGAAAATCGTAAAGACATTTCCGCAATTGCTTCAATTAAAATCATGCTTCATCCTAACTCCACGTCCATCAGCAAAGATGTTTGTGTCTGCGGAAGTCGACTTGCGCTAAGGTAAGTTCCTACTTCATATATTACAACATATTTTCATAGTAGTAATAGTATCTACGACTAAAAACAATTATTCAATTCACTTTTAATTATTAATTAGTTATCTTTTTATTTATTGTGCTAAAGAAAATGTAAAGTAATTAATATTGATTAATGAATTGAAGAAAAAAAAAAAAAGAAGACAGGTGAAAACATTATGGCCGGGCTAAGCCGACTATTATGTACCCTACACACACCCACATACACATTGTCTAACACAATTTTTACTTTTGCCATAGAACACAAAATTTATGCCTTATTTTTATATGAGAACTTACGTAAGAATGATTGTGTGCAAAGAACTATTATGTATCAATTTTCATGATAAAATATTAAAATCTAAACTTTTCTACCGTCAACTTTTGCCTAAATCCTTACATAGGATAGGATACAAAAAATAGCCCAAGATCGTCCAAATTTAGTACCGTTAAGTTTTCTTTTATCTCAAGTTACCATTATGATCGCATTTTCATCATGAGGCATCGAAAATTACACCTTTTATGTCATAAGAACTTCAGTTTTTGTTAGCTGAGAGGAGGTTCAAAATCCACCCCAGGCGGTCCAAAGAATACGATTTATTACCAGACAATTTTGTCGAGATATTTTGATATATTCTTTGGAGATATTCTTTTCCATATAATGGCGTTTCAAAATAGGGCTCCGTATGAGGCGTGGCGGATAGACTGATCCAAACCATTTCCAATAGCGTTCGTCCTTGGGTTAAAGCACGTGTAAGTGTATCAAATTTTATCGAAATATCTCATATGTAGCGACCTGGAGCTTGATTACATATCTACATGGACAGACATACAGAGGGGCGATGACTTTGAATCGATTGATTTAATAAAAGGCGAATCTAGCTTTAGTTCTTCTTGGGGTTACATAAATCCTTAACGGAAGTGGTTTGTGAAGTTTCGGTAAATCTCAAGGCAATTTCCACCTAATTTTGATAACTACAACATAACATAAAGAATAAACATAACTTGCACAACAACTAATCAGCTATTTCTAGGCCTTTCCAGCCGTATGAGATTTATTCGTCCATCTTCGACGATGTATTCACAGACGCATAAATGGATACTGCGATTGGGAGGTTGTCCGAGTTAGATTTTCTGCACAGCTTCAGTCATTTGAATATCATCGGCAATCGTTAAAAATATTATCTAATTTCACTTATGACGCGCTATGACAAGTTAAAGGAAAATTTTTATGTACCAATCTAACCTATTCGTGCGACGTAGGCCAACGGATATTTTGCAATTTCACTTTCAGTATTACAAATATATAGAAGTACGTTCGTATTGCAACTCGTATCCAGTTTTTGTACCGTCGCGAGGTCAACTTAAGAACGAATAGAACTTACGATGTAGTTGGCAGGATGCTAACCTAAAACTTGTAGACTTTGTTAACCGTCTACCTTGTACAACTATTAAGCGCGTTAGGAGAAAGGTTTAATAGTTTAGTTGGCAGATTTTGCATTGAGTCTTTAAGCCGGGCCTGATCGACATTTTTATGTTACCAGTGATTAATAACATAAGTAAGTTTTGCTATAGCAAAGTTTTATAGAGCAAACTATAGCTAGAAAGTTAACTACCATAGTTTTTGTAAATTATTGCACATAACTTAAGGAAAATTTCCAAATTCTTTCCAAAATGTCAAAATGATTTAATTTATTCATTTAACTTTTTCAAGTTTCTGCAAGAGAAACTTCATTTTCTAAGGCGTGAAATTTTTCGCAATAAGCACATGTTTCTAATTTATTATGCCAACAGCCGCCAACAGATATGTAGAAGTAAAAAAGTTCGTCATTCTGTTTGTAACATCCAAAAAAAAAAAAAATGCATATGCGATTATGAAAGTTATATATATGTTTTCTTGATCACGTTGAGAATCGCTTTAGCCCTAGTCATCGCCAAACGCATACTTCAGTCTCACAATCACAAAAATTGATAAAGAAATCTAAAGATGTCCTACTCGCTCAGATCAAGTTTGAAAACAAACGTGATTCTGTTATGCCCTTTGAGCTATACTTAAAATTGTTGTTAATTGCTTACAAGGGATAGGGATAAATGCATTGAAGAATAGTTTCCATCAATCCAATGAAATGCAGGCATTTAATGAAAAATCTTCGTGGCGTTTATATGAATTGCTTGAGATGACAAGGGTTCAAGAGTCGACTTAAGGCGAATATCTTTTACTTAACTTCTTTTAATTGTTTAATATTCATTCGATGTAAGTGTAGAAAAAATAGAAGAAGAAATTGAAAAGAAGAGTTGTTCTCTTTACCTTCAAACACAAAACTGAAACTATGCAAAATATTTTTGTTATGTAGACATTCTCCTCTCCTCCTTTTTCTAAATTGATTGTCTGAGTGTGAGAATGAAAACATGACGGAGTTAAATAAATAAATGAAAGAATTTTGCGGTAACACAAATTCCATGAATGAATTATTAAAACAAAAGAACCGACTGAAAAACGAAAAATGATAAATGAAAAGAAAATTCCATATAAGTAAAACACGACACGACATTATAGTAACACTGAGTCACAAAAAAAAAAAATTATGGAAAAAAAATTTTTTTTTTTATTGTAAATAATGAAAATAAATTCCAAAATACTAACAAGAAAATGACAACAACAACAATAACTAATACATGACGTTATACATAAACTGGGACGCTCGTGGTAATAACAAAGACGTAACGTTTTGACATATATATGCATACAAGAGTAGTTGAGTAAGGACCGAAAAGAGGGTAACAAACACACACAAAAAACAATATTAGTTTTATCTGTGCACGAAAACAAAAACAGAAACAAAAAAAAAAAAAACAAAAAAAAACAAAAAACCCACTCGTACACCTCTCTAAACACAACAGCGGCAGAAGTATGCGTATGTAAGGCTTAGTGTTGACAGTCAGTAATGCCCACATTTAGCACATAGAAAATTGTAATCAATTTTCAACAAGTAAGAAAATTATAACCGGTCGTGTCCGAATCTGTTGTACCCGTCATCGTTGCCTTAAAAAAGAGTAAAAAAATTATGGTATGAGAGGGCGAGGCTAATTTTTTCGATTATTAAAATAAAATTTTTTTGTCGCATAAGCGTGTGGACATGTCCTTGGAAAAGTTTATATCACTTGCAAATTCTTTTGCAAATTTTGTGAGCGATATTTTGAAGGTGGACCGACAAACAGTGGGACATTTTTAGGTGCGTTCCAAATTTGAGCTGGCCAAGAGTTTATATACTTTTTTTAAGCTTATTTTTGGCGGCCCCGTATAAAGGTAATGAAAAAAACAAGTAAATTTTGGTACGCTATAACGTTAGGTAGGCGTGGTAAATTTTTTTTTCAATTTTTAAACAGTTGCTGCAGCACAGAATATGCGTTCAAATTTTTTACTATAGTTTCTGAGTAACGATCGCAAAAAAAAAGAAAAAACAATTTTTTATTCCTATTGAAAAGCACAGTTGTTCTCAGTTGACGTAATACTGCGGGCGTGTCTTTCGGCCGATTTCAATACCAATCTGCGCGCAAGAATTTGCCATGTTTTTGCCAGATTTGAAATTGGTAGCTTCACTTTTGAAGCCAGGAAAATGTTTACAACAGACATTACATATAGACGGACAGACGGACAAGCTTCGCGTTTGATTTGCTCGATTTCGAATTTGATATTGATCAAGATTATATATAGTTTGTGAATTCCCGGAAAGTTCGTTGCAAACGCTATAACAGAGAGGAATATACCTCTCATCCTTCGGTGATGGGTATAACAAAGAGCAGACGTATTTAAAAGTACCTTTAAAAAACGCATTAATTTCTGTAGCAAGTAAGTGTTATTCCTCCCACTACTGTATAAAAAATATAAAAAAACCAGTAGCAAGACAAACAGAGAATTTTGAAGAAAAACAAAAAAGAAGTCAATACGCTTATAAGAACACATACGTGCGTACACATTGTTGTTTATCTTTTAGTATAAGATCACGATATATTTGTTGAATCGGTTGCCATGAACTCACAACTTAAGTGACATAAATTCAAATGACTTATTTCCATTACAAGTAACAAGGAAGCCATTGCCAACACGTCATAGTTGCTAGCAAGAATTTCAAAAGCTTGAATTGATGCCAACGAAAAAAATAAAACAACAGCAACAACAACAACAACAACAACAACAACAACTAAAGTATTATATTTCAAGACGTGTCTTTTTTTCATTGACTTTATCAGCAAACAGGAAACAGAGTTTTATTCGATTTAAGTCGAATTTCTTTCTATACCCATCACCATGGGGTATGGGGGTGTAATCATTTTATCAAAACGGTTGTAAAGCCCAGAAGAAAACTTCAGAGGCAATAAATCGTTTTAAACAAGTCCGTCTGTCCATCTGTGTTTGTTTGTTGTAAGCTTTCTCCTGGCCGCAAAAATGTGTTCTTCCACGCAGGTTGGTATTGAAAATGGGCCAAGGGATACGATGACAGTACCACGTAAAGTCAGACACCTTTGTTTCTCAATAGGATTAAACAATTGGTTTCTTGATCATTACTCATAAACATAAATGTACAAAAATTTGAATATGAATTCTGTGCTGTAGCACTTGTGAAAAAATTGACCACGCCTAGGTGATGTGAGAGTGCTCCAAAATTTAATTTTTTTTTTTCAATAACCCATAAAGCATATAAGAATTGTTGTCCAGTTTGAAATACGGAATCCATGAAAGCATGTCCATCTGTCCACCTGTCTGTCTGTCTTTGCAACTATGTAGTATTTAGATGAGCGTAGGTGATTTCTTTTATTTTCCTACATTTACTATGGATTATACGGAAAATGTTTACCTTTGTACCTGCGATAGTTAATAGGTTATGAGTGAAAAACATAACATTTTTAGCTTTTGAAAAAAGCTATATTCTCAGCTTATGACCTACGGTAAGCTAAGTACAGTTTGATTGCTTGATACTGGGTTTC